CCCTTCGCGTCTGCCATCGGTGAAGATTAAAAAGAGATAGCAAACTATGCTTTCTCTTTCTAAGAAAACGATGTGCAATGGAATCATTTTTGTGTCGAGTCAACTCTCAGCTTGATTTTTGCACGTTGTGAATAGTCACGCCATATCAAAGGAGCTTGTAAAATCAATATCAAACATGATATTTTGTTCCAATATCACGCGTGATATTGCGAGCGCATGAGAGATGAAAAATGTCAATTGATTTCTGATTTTGCCAACACTGGTTCAAACAAATTTAAATTGTTTCTTGAGATGGCTGGTTCTTGAGATTGCTGGTTCTCCCGAGATTGCTGGTTGATCATATATTATCTTGTGAAATATTCAAAAGATCTCCAGCTGATCAAAATATTGCAATAAAGTCCTCTGGCAATTTTTCAAGATTCCATGTTGATTTAGTCCATGTAGCATTGAAAATTTTATCGAGTGTTTAAAAACATTCTACAAGTTTAAATTATGTCTACAGAACCCTCCGCTCTTCAGCAGATCTTCAAATGTTCAAAAATGATATGGCGGAGATTCAGTAAGTATTTAAACGATTTCCAGCTGATCGAAGAGTTCTACTCTGATGATCTTCAACTCTACGAAAATTCAAATGCCGTCTTGCAGATATTCCCCTTAGATGGCAGGTTGATTACCCGAGCAAAGTCGATTAACAAATTAAAAGCAAATCGATATTAATGTTTGCAGTTCCTATCATAAAGAAAACTCATTTTGATTGCAATTGATAGGTAAAAAAGTCAAGATCATAGGTATAAAAATGAAACTACAATGTGTTGAATCGGAACCTACCTAACTAATAAAAACCAAAGATTTAAGTAAGCTAAAGGAGAAAAATCTATACAACTCTCTAATAAGGAAAATCCCCAAAGGCTTGGTAGAGTACTTAAGGGGGTTAGATTTTGATAAGTTCTTTAGTTGGAATGACACTGATGAAGACTGCACATTGTAGTCGAAATACGTATCTGTCATGGATACCAAAATTAATTAAGAGGAATTAAATGGAAGATAACCTTTTTTGCTGTTTTATTTAGCATTCCGCTAACAACCCATTTTTGTTACTTCATAACTATTATTGTTTATTTGTTTTGTTTGGCACATTTTAGTTCATTCGTGACTTGTACGGGGTGAGCGTGAGAAGCATGAATACTAACCATTTACGCCAGGCCCGTATTCAGTTCAATATTATGAATGCAAATTCAGTAATCAAATCGATTTAATTGAAAGCAGGATCAGTTTTCCGTTTGATTCAACATTGTAAATTTTGGTCTCATTTTTGCTGTGTTAACCGTTAAGTCAACTAAAATAAGATCAGCTGGAGTGTTCCAAATAAGTTACATCATAACAGTAAGTTTTGATTTCAATTTGATCTCCAGCTTCGCTCGGGAAGGAAGTAAGGGAAATGGCTTTAATGTTGGTTTATGGATCGAAGATTGGGCCCATCGCTAAAAATCTGCTATTTTTCAATTTTATCTAGATGAACGCGTCATTGGGACGGTACTAATGGATATTTTTGGTCACTATTGAAAATTTAGTCGAATGCTGAATTTATGTATGGGTACAAATTAGGGGCATTTAGGCAGACATTACATCCATTTCCCCTATTTAAAAGAAGTCGAACTTGTCGAAGATTTCGATACAGCCCTGTGGATTTTTTTTTCAAGGCATCAGGCTGATGTATTTTTTTTTTAATAAAAAGATTTTCAATACATTTATTCATAGTCAACATTTTTAAAGACATCACAATTTTAAAATCTATAGCACACTACACTACACTCTAAGTTTTTTTTTTTTTTTTGCCGGGATAGACACCGATCGGGCCAGCTCGAAATTAATTTTACCTGAGATCTTAGCAAAATGTCTGTTTGTAAGCTGAGATCTCGGTGTTTTGCATGTATAATTTTTCCAAGTTCCTCATTGTGATAGGTGGTCACGCCATGATCCACCTTAATCCACTGACTTGCTCCTGCTTGCTGCAGTACCAAGTGCCACGCCGGCCGAAGCGGTAATGAGCAGAGACATGACAGCAGCTCTGTTTTATAGTTTTTTCAGGTTCAAGCAGAACGATGTACAACCAAATGGTACTCGATTATGACGACTGGGTTAGGGAAAATCGTTTATTTCATGAAAACAGAGATTAATTTATCATTTGTACAGTTTTCAAATGTTTTTTGTGGAAAATTGAAAAAAAAGCCCGAATTTATCCACCTATGGTGTGATCAGACCCTTCTTACTTATTCAAGTTTATTTATTTTATTGTCAAGCCCCCCACCCCCGTGTCATCCAGTGACGCTACACCACTGCCTGGGGGTACCCGGAATATATCCGGGTGTAGTCTATTTGGTGAGGCTACCAATCACCTTATCATCGTATTTTAATGTGATTTAATGGGTTTTAATTCAATTCATATTCAAGCAACTTCCCCGGGGTACCCGGAACATGTCCAAGTGTGTCCAATGTGGTCTGGAACACTTAACACGACTTGCATTGATCTTATTTTTGAATTCTGTAGTAATTTGATGTGTCGCATGATGGTTTTGATACGTTTTCCGTTAAATCCAGCGTGAAGGCCCATATTCACCGGATCTTATTCCGGCCATATCTTCGGAACCGGTTCACCGATTCCAAAACCGTTCAATAGCGTTCAATGGGACTCCAAGACCTATCATTTGGCGCCGAGTTTGTCCAAATCGGTTGAGCGGTTGCTGAGAAACGTGAGCGCATTCATTTCGTTACATACACACACACACACACAGACATGTTCCGATCTCGTCGAGCTGAGTCGAATGGTATATGACACTCGGCCCTCCGGGCCTCGGATCGATAGTCGGTTTTTCAAGTGATATCTATACCCTTCTTTGTAAGAAGGATAAAAATATTTGTTTCAGCAGATTTGTAATGTAATATCCTACCGATTGGCGTATTTGGATTTTATTTTCATCTATAAATGACAAAGTTACAAGCGTTCAAAACCTAACACTATTTCACCACACATATTTTTTGATTTGCACCCCAGTATAGGAGGGGGTGGAGGAATTTTAAACGCCTTCAAAATGCCAGGCATGAAATCTGGCCTTTCTGTCGGTAACACAAAATCAAGTAAAGGAGATTACTATTCGCGTTCAGAAGATCGTTGATTTGATGAAACCCAACTGACAACACAGGTTATACCAATGCTAGCTCCTGCTCCGTAGATGCATTAAGTGACAAAAACACATTGAAACCACGCTAAATTTGAAAGAAATTAGTCTCCGAGAACCATAATTGGGGATGGTGAAAAGTATCCACAGTAGCAGCTTTTACAAAAAATGTGGCAACATATTTTTACAGCTAAAGAGAAAACCAAAAGTAAAAGTGGACGAATTTGTGATAAAAAATCCCAATTGATCGTACATCACAACTGGAAATACTATGGACAACGGTTACATCAATGAGTGTCAAAAAAACGTCTACGACTTTTTTTCGGCAATACAGCCAATAACCGCCAATAACTACAATTTAAATTGAGGAGCTTGTCTAGCTTGGTGGCTGCCACTTTTGCGAGCGGAAAATCATTCAAAAGAAAAAAATGAATTACTATGGTTACATCACCTGCTTGCGAATACTGAACCAACTCCTACCCAACTATCCAACTCCGGAGCATCTATGGGGGCATCGGTGAGTCACTGGCCCCCCGGTAAGTAGGTGTTACATTAACAATATCCTTCCATACCCTGTAAAAGAGAAGATGGGCGTGACCGGCAATGGTAATTGTCATGATTTCCCTGTTCTGAACTTTGATGGGAGAGCTATTCACTCCCAAATAGTTTTCCTTAACCAATTAGAATAAGAACGTTAAAGTAGATACATACATGACAGCCTGTATGCAATCTACGAATTACTCCGTTACAAACGCAATACAATGCAATACAGCCAATAATCGCTATTATTCCCAGATTTATGCTTTCAATGCCTAAGGATCAGATGGAGACTTACGCGAAGTGGAAACACTATCAATGAAGTTGAATAACTTCTTTTTCTTCTTCGCATTTCAAGCAATTGCATATCGCATTCGACTGATGCAAAATTTGAATTTTTCGCTCCACAGTGCTCAAACGGTTTCAAATCAGGTCCTGATTAGCCTCCCAAAATTTAAACTCGTTTGGTAAGAAACTGACTTGGCACAAACTATTAGAAGTTTATATGGAAATTACTATGGGAAAACCAAACTTTTTGTTCATTGTCTTCTACCCATTTTCGATATTCCTTTTTCGAAAACTTCTATGAATATTCTTACGGGAAATTTTCTAAGCTACAACTTTGCGCAATATTGTTTTTCAGCCAAATGTCAAATAAAATTGTTATTAATTGTTCAAGAGATTGATAATCTTATGGCATGATCAAGCAGCTGTTGTCTGAGCAACACTGTATTCTGCACTGTTACATAGTAGCCATGATTTTTATATCGCATATTAGCTTATTGCGTGCTCTCAACTTAGTGTTCTAGAAGCACTTCCACAGTTATTAATTGAGAGCTTTCGATGCTGATACCATTTTTGCAATAGTACAATTGTGTGGCAAGTACAATTATACCCTATGCCCAGGGTCGAGACATTTTTCAACCCGAAAAATTCCTAAACCAGACCGGAAATCGAAACCAGTCACCTCCAGCATGGTCTTGCTTTGTAGCTGCGCCTTTATCGACTGAGCTAAGGGAGGCTCCGATGTTGAATAAACGCTATATTTTAATATTTTAATTAGCTATTTCGATGCGTCTGGATTTTTCCGGAATTTTTTAAGCATTTGAGACATTGTTTCAATGCCTCATAACAGGATGCATCAAAACAATCAATAAAATATTAATATAATTTGAGAATTATTGACCATTTATGACGGTACTCTCATTAGAATTTTGCTTCAGTGATTCAAAAATAACATTCCTTCATACCTGAAAATTACTTAACGATATCATCACAAAAACTTACCTCTCTTCCATTTTCATTCTTTGACAGCCTATCATTCGTTTCAAAGATCCCGTTGCCTTCCAGTGGAGCTTGCTCAAATAGTTGTTCACACTTCACCACGCGCTAAGAATGTTGCTGTATTTTCCTTGCCCGCCGAAACGTAAAAACCGCCAAAAGATCACTTTACACCATTAACCATTCATCAAATCCTCCCACCACCGCTGCGGCAACAGTCCATCACGCGTTTAATCCAGCAAACTGTGTGACAACCTACAACTCCTTCCCACCGTGACGGATCTCTTGGTTTGCTTTATTTCACACCACCGCCACCGCCAAGAATCACTGCTGTGCTTTCTCCGCACCCCTTCTCACAGGTGTTTTCGTTCTGAGCACAATATGCAACACCGTTGCGTTCGTCTCTCCACAGAAACCTCCGGATTCTATTCAATTAGACTGCAATTTCCTACAATTTGAGTCGTGTTTCTTCGCGCCTGCTAAACCGCTCGCGACATTGTCAGACACATTACACAACAGTTTCTGGAGATGTTCTGTTATGCCCGTCTGTTGCCTACACTGTTTGCTTTATCTCCTTCCGACAATTGTGGATCTTTTCAGCCGAGCAACAGGTGTTTATGCGCACTTTTAGGGATAAACAGTTACGACGGTGTTCTTTTGTCACTTTGCAAAGTTTTAGCAGCTTGCAAACACAAAGTAATCGGGTCTCATCCGTACAGCACTTTTCACGTTCCACAAAAGTACTTTGGTGGTCAGCCAAGGTACACCAACTGGCGGTAGCTAACAATTAAAGAAAAACCTTAATGTATTCACCATTTACGCGATGTTATATTTCACTAACTCGCCGAACGGCTGAAAGCTATACTGTGGCCGTTTATTACACAACGACCTCCACCGAAGAAGTCGCCGTCGTCGTTGTAGGCGTCGATCCACCTGATGCAAACACTTTTATTTGGTAGTTTCGATTTCGAGTCCCTCGAAACGGACGGCTTCTCACTTATTGACCACGGCAGCGTAGGCTCAGCTATTGGTGTCCACCCAAGTGGATATTTTCCAAAATCGAGGTGATTATGGGAAAACCCGGTGCAAGGAAAAATCACTTCCACTCTCGGCGCCAGCTGAACACGGACTGTTTCGAGCGAAGTGACTCCTCGATTGAAGAAGACCTCCTACCAATGCGCGTCTGTCGACAAAGATCGTTTGCTGATCAGAACGCGGGCGTGCGATTTCAAGGGAGGAAAGCTCACCGCGCAAAGCTTTCAGCTGCGCTTTGTTGGAGGGGGGAGGAAAATTCGAGAGAGTGAGAGAGAACGTAAGCCACCCTTCAGTTTTCGGAAAATATGTGTGGGAAATTCCTCTCGTGCTCTTTTCGATCACTCTCTATTTGCGTACACTGAAGCTAATGAGCAGCATGTCTCAAGTGCTGACATGGATGTGGAACATAAGCATAAATGTAGATACACGTGCTTGCATTCTGTAAACATGTTTGGTGGCGATGTTTTATTAAACTAGTTTTCGTTTTCGGAGCTCTTATCGAAATGGAATCGATATTGCGATCGCTTTGAGTTGGACAAACAGAGCCAGTGAAAGGAGAAACAAGCTGTTTGGCAAAATAACAAAGGATGAGTGTTTTGCATACATCTTCGTCGGTAACCAGCCAAAATTGCAAAGCGATATCAAGGTTTGGTGCAGTTGAACTTGGATCGCAAGTATTTCGCGTTCGCACAGCTGAAGTTTGTTGTTCAACACGGTGCTTTCTATTGATTAATGCACACCAATGTTTTAGGTAGATGTTGATGTTTGTGTTCTTTGAAGATCTTATGCTTTGCAAGAGTGAAATTTAAAAGCGACGTAAGAGAAAATTAAACTTTTATGAGTTTGGGTCCTACACAGACGATATTAGATATCTAGTAGTAGTAGTAAAATTAAATTTATTTCAGTTGATAATATTTGCGTTTTTCAACTGTGTTTTATTTGAATTGAAAAAATTGGATAACCTACCTAACTACGAGTATAACTTAACCTAACGTCCTAGATCACGTGTGATCTGATGATCTGATCTTAAGCAGGTGTCTCTGAACCTTTCCAAGAATACCGTTCTTCGCTCTTCCAGATACTGAAGACCAGCCAGAGGTGATGGAATTGGACACAACTCTCTCAGATTGACATACCGTACTCGATTGGAGGATGATTTGCTTGTAGACAGCTAGGTTGTTTTTCAGGGACAGTGTGGATCTCCTGTTGATGACCGAAAAGCAGCGTGCTGCTACTTAACCCTTAAAGACGCACTATATTGAAAAAAAAAAACATATTACAATAATTATCCTTCTACAACACGTTTTGATTCAGTATGCATAAATAATAGAGAAAATGAGCATTTTAATCTGAAGATAAAGGTATGTTGTTTTAAAACAACATTGAGTCCTTATCGGATAATAAACAGTAAGAAATTCAAATATGTATTTTTAAAACAACTCACTTTTTATTGTCAGATTTGATCTTCATATACTTACAAATCGTGATGATACTTGTAGAAACAATTGTTATTTCTGGTATTGCACAAAGAAACTCCATACTTTTGACAGAAGTTATAGGTGAAACCTTTACAATTTAGATATTTGCATCGGCACTGCTTACCTGACCACATCGTTCAATGTGAAACTTGATCCAGTCGAACATCTTTAGTTGGTACTGGCTGCGCAGGACCTTTGTACTTCTTCTGCTGAAGTTTCTGCTAAATTCCTGAGCTATTCGGTCTACCACGTTTTGTAGATGTCAAACCAAGGTTGCAGAGAGTGTCTGCCAACTGTAGCCTGAATTTCCGGAGAGTCAAAATATCTGAATTATTTTCAAGTGAAACCTTCTTGTAGATTATCCACGCATTCACGATAGTCATATCTAGCAGGTGATAGAACAGACGAATGGTTCACTTGCGACTTTTTGCTGTTATTCGGTAACGACCAATGAAGCTATCCATAAGGTTCACTCCACCCATGTGCGCGTTGCATTCCCTTACCGCTTTCGGACATTGTATGGATGTTCGCTTATGGGTTTTCTTGTCATACTTGGATATTGTGCTGACTGGTTCCGCTCCAACATATGTGAACAGCAAATTGACAGGTTTGTTGTCCTTCCAAACTATCGCACTAACTTGGACACATTTAACAGTTGTAATACATTCCTTGTAAAAACCTCTAGGATTATTCTTCTTCATAATTTCCTTCTTATCCGGCAGTTTCACATTTTTCAATCGGCTGACCCGTACTGTACCGAGGGAATGGATGCCTTCTTTAGCAAGATGTGTTACCAGAGGAAGGGAGGTGTAGAAATTGTCAAAGTACAAAATAAGGTTTACGTTGCGTGGATCGTATCAATCTTGAAACTACATTTCCGGTTTCACCCAAATTGGGCTCACCTGGTAACAGATTCATATGCTTACTGCTACCAGAATAAACTTCGAAGTCATGAGCAAAGCCATTTATGCTACAAAGTAGAAACAACTTTAAGCCCCATTTGTGTGGTTTATTAGGTAAATACTGCGTCATATAGTGAGCAATTTTCGTAGCACACATTTGCTCATCGACACTTCTGTTCTGTTCTTGGGTATTTCTGTTCCATGGGTACTTTGCCGAAACTTTCTCTAAGGGATTCTATAGCTGGTCGTATTGTATAGAGTCTGTCTTGTTGAGGGTCTTCCTTAGGCAATATTCCTTCGTTATTGTTGAAATGAAGAATAGATCCAATTTTGAGGAATGCAGACTGAGACATAGTAGTTGACCGAATAGGATCATACCCAAGTAACCAAAAGTTCTGATAAAAGGCTATTTATGGCTTAAGCACCTTGGTTGAAGGTGGTCTATAGAATTCTAAGCAGCCTCATTTTTAAGTCGTTATAAGAACTTGAAAGTTCCGGTACCATAATTGAAGAGCATTCCAAGCAGCCTCTGGCGGAACTTGAACGGAACTTTTAGAAAATAAATTAAAAAAGGTTTTTGTCCTCTACACCAACTCTATATTTAGCTCGCACTTTTATGAAAGTTATTTCTAAAGGCAGGTATTAATGTGTATTGATTTATCAGCATTAGTAGTAGGAATGGAGCTGTTGGAAGAATTAAACCCAGTCCTTCTGCGAGAGAGTCTCAGCACGAACCACTACGTCATCTGAAATATATTAAAGTGAGCTGTTGTCCCACCTATTGTTGGAGTTTTCTGAGCCAGCTGACTGACTTGAATACGAAACACAACACCTTGATGAATTTAAATTGGTGTTTGCCGCGTGGTATTCTATCACACTTGTGGCGCAGTGGTTGGCAATCGTAGATCACATGCCGAATACACGGGTTCGACTCCATGAAAAAAATTTTTTTTGTTACTTTTGGATAGAATGTTGCATAAATATAAGAATTATGATTTATTCGGGCCACTGATTATTTCATACTACATTAAATTTTGTTACGAAAAAAAGATTTGTGAGGATTGCTTCATGTGGCTTAAAGTTCTGTCGGAACTTTATTTCAACTTCATGGAACTTGAAACGTCTGTCAGAACTTTATGGAACTTGAAAGTTCTGTCGGAACTTTATTTGAACTTTATGGAACTTGAAACGTCTGTCGGAACTTTATATGAACTTTATGGAACTTGGAAGTGTTGAATGCGGAACTTTTGGTTACTTGGGTAACCATATTTGCTACACAAATAAGACTTCATATTCGGTAGCTTAGCTACCGAGCTGTATATAAATATACCTAGATATTTATTCAAATCGGTTCTGGTGATGCATACCGGATTGGAGATATTCTTTTTTTTTTTTTCCCCCTTTGGTTTGTTTTTTCCGTCGATTTTGTTTTCCGTGCTGAGCACCAATGCTACCGACGTGCCAGGAAGGCAGCTCCCACACCTGGACCCTACCCAACAAACAATTCACAGTCACAAATAAGCATACACATTGAATAAATGCTGTATAACAGTGTACAATGCTGAATAAAACAAGATGTCGAATTATGTGCTGAAAAAAGCTCATTGAGATCGATAGATGCGCCTTTATTCCGC